GTGAACTATCTGTTGGTGCAGCGACTTGTGGTAGTGTTGGGGTATTTTTGCTGATGATATCATCAGTGGTACAATTTTTCCAAAAGGAACCGTCAATTGGCTTGGTGTATCTTCCTCCCTTCTGCTCATCATGGTCGTTCAGCTAATATTTGGGGACCAACAGAGGTGAGGCAGAGAACCTCACCCCCCCCCCCCCCTGCCACACAGCCCCATCCCCCCCTGAGGCCTTATACTGGACCGGTCCTCAGTGACGGGTAAGATCCAAGTGCAATGGTACCAACCTAAGACAGGAGGCTGATGCCTTGAGGTCAGCTCATCCGATAACGGGTAAGGACCATATGTACTATTGGACAATCTAAGGCAGGCACAGTCCCTAAGCCACATGCTTGTTATTTAAACAGAGAGGGGGAGATGTTGAGAGCCACAGCCTAAGGGGCCCCAGCAAACTTTCAGACTGCCAGCTGATGATTGGCTCACAGCGGCTCCAGCAACTTCTAGCTGATTGGCTCCTCTGCGGTGATGCTCATTGGGCTGTTTCCCCGCCCTTTCAGACCACGGAGCTGCTCATTGGGGGACTTTTTTGGCTCCGCCCATGAGACCCAGACAATCGGCCTCAAGAGCAGGACGAGTGGGGGAGGTTGAGAGGCTTGTGGGAAGCCGGTGGTGGCAGTTGGGCTCTGAGGGTTTTTCCTGAGGAGCTGTTTTGCTTGGCATGTGTGGTTGTAAAAATAAAGTTCATTTCTTTTGACAAGTGGCTCCTGAATTGTGCCCAGCCAGACTGCGGCAGCATGTTAACTTTAATTCTTCAGGGCAAATATTGACAAGTGGTATAGCTCATAGAGTGGTTCCATGTCCAGTCTTTTGAGGAACCTGAATACTGATTTACAAAGTGATTGTACTAATTTACTATCCCACAACAATGTAAAAGTGTTCTTTGATTTCCACACTCTCTTCAGTCTTTATTAGCATTTGTGTTCTTGATTTCTGACTGGTATGAGATGAAATCTCAGTGTAGCTTTGGTTTCCATTTCCATAATTGAAAATCTTGTTGACCATGTTTTCATGTATTTGTTGACCATTTGTATTTCTTCTTTTTAGAAGTATCTGTCTGGTTCATTTACCCATTTATCAATTGTTTTTTAGTTTATATATTCTGGATGTTAATCTTCTGTTGGAAGATTAGCGAGGAAAGATTTTTTTCCCATTCTGTAGGTTCTTTCTTCACATTCTTAATTGTTTCCTTTTATGATCAGAAGATTTTAAATTTGTTGTCATCCCATTAATTAACTCTTGGCTTTATTTCCTGAGCTTTAGGGGGATCTATTGAGGAAGTCATTGCTTATGCTTATATGCTGATGTTTGACCCTATGTTTTCTTATAAGAGTTACATAGGTTTTGATCCAATTCTTAGGTCTTTGATGAATTTTCAGTTGATGTTTGTGCAAGGTGAGAGGTAAGAGTTTCATTTTATTCTTCTACATATGGATAATCAGTTATCCTGGCACCATTTGTCAAAATGGCTGTGTTTCCAGTTTAGTTTTTGGCATTGACATTTGTCAAGGATCATATGACTGTATCAGTGGGTGTTTCTTTCTGTGACTTCTGACCTGTACCATTGCTCTATTAACCTGCTTTTATGCCAGTAACATGCAGTTTTGTTACTATAGCTCTGTAGCATAATTTAAAGTTACATATTGTGATGCTTCCAGCATTGCTTTTTTTTTTTTTAATTTGCTTACAACTGTTTTGACTATTCTGGGTTTTTTATAATTCTAAATGAATTTTCATACAGTTTTTCTAGTTCTCTGAGGAATAACATTGGTATTTTAAGGGGGATTGCATTGAATCCATATATCATTTTGGTAGTATGGCCATTTTCACAATGTTCTTATAATTAATTAATTCTGATTATTATAATTAAAATTATTATAATTAATATTAAGTCTGCTGATCCATGAACATGGGAGGTCTTTCTACCTTCTGGGGTTTTCTTCAATCTCTTTCTTCAGTGTTCTATAGTTTTATTGTAGAGGTCTTTTACCTCCTTGGTTAGATTTACTCCAAAGTAATTTTTTTCTTAGGTTCTTGTGAATGGAATTGTTGTCCTGATTTCTTCTTCAGCCAATTTATTATTGTATATAGGAAATTTATTGATTTCTGTAGATTGATTTTGTAAACTGCTAGTTTACCAATATGTTTATTATCTCTAGAAGTCTTTCGGTGGAATATTTTAGATCTTCTAGATATAAGACCATATTGTCTGCAAATAGTGATAATTTGACTTATTCTTTCCCTGTTTTTATCCCTGGTATTTCTTTCACTTGGTAGGCAACACTTTTTGAGTCCTTCATGGAAATGTCGATAATGTACATAAGTCATCTATACCAGTCATCATATGACATGCTACATAATGTTTTTACTTTTAATAACATACAAAATGTAGAAATTAATGTTAAATATTCCACAAGCAGAGAACTGACATGAATGTGGCTTGAATAGCCATAAGAAAGACTTCAAGATCTTGTGATTCACTGAGTGGCTTTTCTGAGTTACAGGTGACCATGGCATCTGAATCTCCTATGAAGATCCCCATTTGTTTAGTGGAAAAGTGGAATGAGCAGCTGACAGTGAATTCAGAAGCCTTGAGGATTCTTGAAAAGATATGTCAACCTGTGGTGGTGGTGGCCATTGTAGGGACATATCATACGGGGAAATCCTACCTCATGAATCATCTTGCAGGGCAGAACTATGGTGAGTGTGGTCCAGGGGCAAGGACAGTTGTTTGGAACCACAAATAGGACAAGCTGATATCACTTTCTCTAGGGTCATCTTAAGGAAGAGGTTAATCCCTCCCACTAAAGAAAATGTCTAATTCTTACCAGCATATTTATAACCTCTCACCTATCCAAAATCATTGCATTCTTTTGTCCATTAATAAAGAACTCCTCAACCTTATCAAAATATCTGCTTCACTGTTGTTCCTGGTGCCATCCACTCTCACCTGCTCAGGGGCTGAGCTCTAACAATCACTCCCTTTTTGCCCCCTGCATCCTTTTGTGCAAGCAACATGGCCATTTGATATAGAATACAAATATAGTGAAGTATGTCCTTTTAAAACAAATGGATGAGCAGAAGGATGCACAGTAGGGTCTCTCTATATCCAATATCCAAATTGTGATACCACTCAATTTTTCTCTATTTATAGCAGATCTTTGATAAATTAACATGCTGCTCTTTTTTCATAGTCTTTTATAATATGCAAACTATAACACAGTACATAAAGCCTATGTATACAACATAGTTAATAAATATAAAGTGAAAATTATGTGATTACTAACTAGATCAGGAAAGAAAACTTAACCAATATTCAAAAGTCCAAAGCATATCCTCTCACATTCTTACCAAAGCTCACAATATTTTGGTTTTCAGGGTACACTCTACTCTTGCTTCTAAATAATGGTTCTATCGTCTATTATGCAGTCTACAAAATTCTTAGTTCAGCCTTCTTTTGACTTTTATATAAAAGGGACTATGACGTGTGTATTCTTGTTTGTCTTGCTTCTTTTGTTCAAGAAGAAGTTTATGAGCATCCTCTGTTTGTAACACATATCTGTAATTTGTTTTAAGTACTTTATAGTATGCTTATGTCTGAGGACACCATAATTTATTTATCCATTTGTCGTTGATGAGTAGTGGTGTTATTTCCAAGGTTTATATTTAATGAATAAGGTAGTTATAAATATTCTCATATTTATATCCTGGTGCACATGTACAAAAACTTCCCTTGTTCAACAACTAACTGAACTCAACTTGAATCCAGAGGACACTACAGCTCTTCCTGGCCAGATAAAAATACACAGGGAGACAGCACAGGATGATAGAGTTTACACTAATTCTTAATGTGAAGTAATTTGATCACTTGAAACAATAATGTGAATTTGGGGTACAAAGTGTTTTTTGAGAAAGATAACACTTGGATTTTTTATTCTTCTGAAATAGTAGCGAACACTGTCCTTGTTCAACACTGTACATTCCTACAGATTTAATGCCTGTATCCCCTGGCAGCTTTACCTCTCAGGTGTCACTCTATGTTGTCTTCTCCTCTTTCTTCCCCCAGGGCTCCACAGTGAGGGCTGAGACCAAGGGCATCTGGATGTGGTGTGTGCCTCACCCCAGCAAGCCAAACCACACCCTGGTTCTCTTGGACACTGAGGGCCTGGGGGATGTGGAAAAGGTGAGGCAGAGAATCCTCTGGGCTCTTGATTCATGTGCAATTCAATTGGTCACCTCAGTCCAACATCTGTGACATATTTTTATACCTGCAATCCAATTATGAATAATGAGACTAAATTCCATTTCCTTGAATTTCTCTAGCAACCTAAAATACTTTGGTTGTTTGATTCATTTGTTTTTTGCTGACAAGAACAATTTTAGGAGGGACAGTTTATATGGGGGTTCATGATTTCAGAGAACTTGGTCCATAGATAACTGGCTCCATTCCTGGGAGCTTGAGGTAATGCAGACCATCATGTGCAAGAGTGAGGCAGAGGAATGTGGCTCACAGGATGATCAGGAAAAAAAGGAAGAGACTCCACTTCTCAGATACAAAATGTCCTCCCCAAAGGCATGCCCTTAGGAACCCTCCTTCTCCAGCCACAACCTACCCACCTTCAGTCACTACTCAGTTAATCCCCTCAGGGCATTGATTCACTGACTGGGTTAAGGCTCTCATAATTCAATCATTTCTCCTCTGAACCTTTTTGCATTGTCTCACACATAAGCTTTTGGGGAACACCTCACATCCAAACCATTACTTTGGTAAATTAGGACAGGTCTTCTCTTTTTAATACTGGGATGTACAATTTAATTTAATAAATACACACCAAACAGCAGAACCACTGGCTGACTTAACAACTTGTAACGGGATTTGAGTAGGATCCGGATCTATTTTAAAGCCTTTTAAGTCTTGCCATTAATCTCATTAAGTCTTGCCAGTTTTCACTCTGGCCTGCAGGCTCACTACTTCAGTGAAATAAAAGAACCCTGTGCTCTAACAACTTAGGCTTGCTGCTGCTGGTCCTTCCACTTGCTGGACCCCTGCATATTCTACAGCTCTTTAAAAAACAGCTAATAACTTCTTGCTCTGAATCCCCAGAGCAATTTTTCACATTCATGGACCTCCCCACCCCACTCTCCACTGTGTTTCTTTTTCTCCCTCTCCCTCCTTCTCCCCTCCCCTCCTCTCTCTTCCTCTCCCTCACCCTTTCCTTTTCCCTCCCACTCTCCCTTCTTCCCTCTTTCTTTCTGTAAAATAATGTTGGTTCCCTCTCCTCACAGATTATCATTTGGTCTGTGTTTATATGTATTATGTGTATCTGAGCCTCTATAAAGTGATATTCCTGTGAGCAGAGACTGTCAGAACTTTGTATCTATAAAACCAAATGCAGGGTGTGGCACCTTGTCAGATGTCAAAAAAAGTGTTGTTCAACTTAATTGAAATGTGATTACATCCTTACCACAGCCATGATGAAGATGAAATTTGTCATGAGTTATTGCCCACTTATTATGAGACACCTACAATGTTTTAGGTATTTCATTAATTATTTTATGCACATTGAGAATGACTTTCATTTGTCTTCATAGCTACATAAACTAATATTCTAAGAGAGACAAATATAAATATCAATAATGGGATTTAAATTTAACATTATCTTAAAATTTTGTTATTTCACCTATATTCAGAAAAAGTACAGCTAAAAGAAAGAATGAATAACTTTAAATGAATGAATGAATGAAGAGTGGACTTGTAAGTTCTTTTCTCGTGTGCTTCCTAGGGTGACCCTAAGAATGACTTCTGGATCTTTGTCCTGGCAGTGCTTCTTAGCAGCACCTTTGTCTACAAGAGCATGGGCACTATTGACCACCATGCCCTGGAGCAGCTACAGTATCCTTCCAAGAACCAAACAATCATGTCTTATTGAGGGAGGTTAAGAGAATAGCAACTGAGACTGTTCCTTCTCTCTTCTAACTTGATTGTCTTGGTTGAGTAAGAGTAGACCCTGGAAAAAAAAAGGGAATGTTCATAAAACTTGTTGCTAAGTGATCTGGAAATTGTGATGTTTCTCATTTCTTAGCTAAGATCCCAGCTATGTGACTGAACTAACACAACTAATCAGGGCAAAATCTGACTTCATGCCTGATGAAGTAGAGGACTCCATTGAGTTTGTAAGTTTCTTTCCAGACTTTGTTTGGACTGTTCGAGATTTCATGATGGAGCTGAGGATGGATGGACACCCCATCACAGAAGATGAGTACCTGGAGAATGCCTTGAAGCTGATTTCAGGTATCCAAGAGTGGCCTTGGTGCAGGAGGTTCAATAAAGAAGTGGGATCAACTAAGCCCTGACTTTCATTGCTCAATATACCTGTTTATTTGAGACTGGATTGAGGCCCTTGCTAGTGGTGACTGATGATTGACAAGTGACCATGATTTTCATAATTATTTTAAAAAAATCTCCAGAGGCTAAGGTTTATATTTACTAAGGTAATTTAGGGCTTAGTGTTGTACACATAATTTTAGAATAATCAGTACCATGAAAAATAATGAGGATTACAATCAATGCTACCACTTCCGAGGCTCATATATTTGTTACTTATGAAGTGTAACTGGTCCTTGTATTTTGAGGAAAAGAGTTTATCAAACTAGAAATGAGTAAACCTACAATCACAGGAAATGTAAGGACCTACTTTAAAAAATATTTCACTCATTATTTTAAAGTATATAGTAACATTCTTCAGAGAAAAGATGTTTGTATAATGAATCGTTCATGGGGGGAAAACAGAGATACATAATTCCAGGATTACTGGAATTTGGGTCCCCTTCATTTTACTTTTGGACAACATCACTTTATTTATCCCACAGACTTACATTATACTATTATACATTATACTATTACATTATACTATTATACACTTACATTATACTATTATATATTAATATTATTATACTTACTATTATATTATAAATTTATTGCATGAGTATATTTAGCAGAATACATGAGTACTGGTACTTATCAATACCCATGTTTATAATAGTATACTTACTATTACTATTATAAATTTATCACATGAGTATATTTAGCAGAGTACATGAGTACTGGTACTTATCAATACCCATGTTTATTCATTCTTTGAACTAACATCTATTTTGAACAGCAGATTTATACCAGAAAATCTCTGTAAGACAAAGTCAAGTGCAATATAATCTGACATCAAGAAGTACACATTACATTGAAATTCACTTTACTTTGGACTTTTCTGCCGAAGGAAATTCTAGACATAATTATGGTGTGTAGATTTTGGGCTTGGATTGTGAACCATTTTTCTCTACAGTTTTGGGTATCATCTTTCCTCCTCATGTTACTTTTCCCAGGAACATCTTGGCCTTATTTCTAGTATTATTTTACTGAAGAGTCCACATCTTATTTATGACATGGGATTAAATTATCATAAAAGTCTTTCTGACAATTTTTGTGATTAATCAGTCATTTCAAACTTTTAATAAATAATTTATCTGCCACTATACAAGGGGTAAAGAGACAATTTATAGGTTTCTTCACTAGAGATGAGTGTCTCTACAAAAGTACTTCCTTGACTCTCAGTTCTGATAAAAAAAAATGATGTTCAAGTTAACTTAACACTGCTTTTTTTAAATTGAATAATGGAAGATCAGTGGCTTGGGAGCTACAGTTAGGCAAAGATTCAATATTCTTAGAAAAGTCCTCAATCCCTTTTCCTACAGGCTTGTCTACTCAATGAGTGTTCTTTTTACAGGAAAGAGTGAAAAAATCCAAAATTCCAATAGGTCTAGAGAGTGTATCAGATGTTTCTTTCCAGAACAAAGGGCTTTGACTCGCCTGTTATCCCACATTGATAAAGTTCCACAAAACCAGCTGGAAAGGAATTTTCAGGTGCAATTAAAAAACTTCTGTTCCTATGTCTTCACCAATGCAAAGACCAAGACCCTGGGAGGGGGAATCATTGTGACTGGAAATCCTGAGTTTCTGTTGTCCCAAAGCATGTCTCTTGGGAGTTCAGTATGTATGATAATATTGTGATTCTTTTGTGAGTTTGTCAGTAATTCTGTTTGCTTCTGTAAAGGCATGTGGAGAAGCACACATTCATGCCACACACAGAAATGCATTTTTCTTAAAGTTTTTATATCTGAGGACTAGTTGAAGCTTAACACATTTCATACAATTAGTACACTAAGGGTACCATCAGAAGCTACTACTAAAGAAAGAAAATCTGTAAGTTGAGGGAAAGTTCCATAGGATTAAATGTTTCCCTGTGAGAATATACAAGATATTTTATAAATTGAAACTAGTCAGAAAAGAATCAGCAGGTCATGAGTCCCATGCCAGCTCACTGCGTGTTTGAGAAACAAATTTAAACAGCATTGGTTTCAGGAGCATGTGTTCTATGCAATCATGAAGTCCCCATGTGGAGATGGGCCTATGCTTGTTTCCAAACTCTATGTTGCTTTCTGTAAATTTTTGATGATATTTTTTCATTTTTATTTTAAATCAAGACTCATAAATTATGTAATTTACTTCCTCTAATAAATTCTTTTTCATTAAAAAATAACTCTTGGTTTCAATCTGTAATTGTGTAATGGGGTGAATGTGAGAACTATAAAAGGAGTGTATAGGAAAAACAATATTATTAAATAGTGATTTATTCTTGGAGGATACAAAAAAAGAAAAAGTAGTAAGTATACTAGAAGAAGAAGAAAACATGAGATAAACAGTGTTTTCGTGATTTTTTTTATAATGCCAGTACTTAAAGCTTATGAAAATGACGAGTAAGATTTTTCATATACTCCATGTCACTCAGGGTTGGCGACTCTGGTGGAAACCTACATAAATGCATCAACAAAGAAACCATTCCTTGCTTGAAGAACGCAGTGACCACTCTGGCCCAGTGTGAGAACTCAGCAGCCCTGCAGAAGGCAGCTGACCACTACAGTGAGCAGATGGCCCAGCGGGTGCAGTTCCCCACAGACACGCTCCAGGAGCTGCTGGAGGTGCACACAGCCTGTGAGAGGGAAGCCATCACAGTCTTCATGGAGCACTCCTTCAAGGACGACAATCATGAGTTCCAGAAGAAGCTGGTGGTAATTGTCTTTTTTATTCATTCTCCCTGATTCCTCTTCTTATGCAATGAGACTTGGACTCTTTAGATTCCAGAGTTTGCATCATTCTCATCATAGAAAGAACTTTGTGTGCGTATGTATGTGTGTGTGCAACTGAGCTCTTCACAATACTGTGCATTCTTTCTATAAAAGATGGGACTTAATTTTGTATTGCTGCGAAACAAATTATCAAGCAATTAGCAGATTAAAGCAAAATGAAAGTGTTAGCTCACAGTCAGATCTCTGCACAGATCTCTGCTCAGCGCACCACCCACTTAAAATAAGGACTCAAATTGCCTTAGTTCTCACCTTGGTGCTCTGGGGAAGCCCTCTCCACTTTCAAACAAGCAAGCACCCATCAAAACCTTCTCTAGCCTTTCTGATTTCCTCTTATGCCACAGTAGGAGAAAACTGCTTTTAAAAGTTTGTGTGATTAGATGATGTCCTATGGAGTACTCTCCATTTTTTAAAGTCGACCTATGCTATGTAACACATTAGAATCACAGAATTAATATCCATCATATTCACAGGACCAGGGATAAGGCGGGGTGTGGACACCAAGGGAGAAACAGGGACTGCCTAATTCTGCTGACCAGAGGCACCTTCACTGGAAGTTTGACTTTCAGTCAATCTGGAACCGACACAACACTGACAAAAATCTCTTAGGAAATCTAGTGGATTGTAATTTACAAGTACAAACAATAAAAAAAAAATATTCTTTCCTGTTTCCTCACACATTGAAACTCTCACTGAATTTATGAAGGGTTCAAAATTCTGTTCAGAATGCACTCAACTCATTCCTTGGGGAATTATTTGCCATGTACATAATTTCAACCACAGCAACTCATATTCCCTGACAAATTTACTTCTAGTCCAAGTTTAGCTTTTTGTTAGTTACTTTAGTGTTTGGGTCTCCATTAATACTACAGCTGAATAAACCATCAAGTTTATGTTTTCCAGCTCCATCATTTTACAGAGATTGGAGTTGACCACAAGGGAGTAAAGGTAATTTTCTGATGCACAGAGAATTGACCAGACCTGGGACTGAGGCACGTCTCCTGGCTGCTTTCCATGTCCCAGACCACTCTGAGGTTGTCAGACTGCTTCTTCCAAGAGGATCTCAGTTAGACCTTCCTTCTAACAACTTCTTTTTCTCTTATTCCTCTACATTTCCCTTCCAGGACACCATAGAGAGAAAGAAGGAAGCTCTCTTGCTGCAGAATGAGGAGGCATCTTTAAAATTCTGTTGGGATTGGCTAATGTGGCTTTTAGCACCCCTGATGCAAAGCATTTCAAGAGGAGCGTTCTCTGTTCCTGGAGGCCACGGTCTACTCAGTAGCAAAGGGTAGTGGGGTGGAACAGGGCTACAAGGTAGTGCCCTGGAGAGGAGTAAAGGTAAGGAATAAGGGGATTGGGGGGAAAGCTAACAGAGTGTGGTCAGAGGGTCTGTGCTGTTCTTTTGCAAACTCTAAGCTCACAGAACCATTTATGAAACAAAGGCAAAGAATGGCAATATGTTGACATTTATATCATTTTATATTCACTACTCATTAGACGCTCTTAGATAAACTGAAAATAGTTCTTCCCAGAGAGGATTTAGAACCAGGAATTCAGGTGAAACCAACCATTTCTTTTATTTATCAAGAATGGTAGTTTTTTAGGCCAAATAAGAAGATACAATATGAAGGGAATAATATTGTTCTCATGAAATGTATCATACTTCAAGTGGGTAAAATAATATTCAATAGGATATGGTGTATTAACACTATTTTTTAAAGGTAACTGGGTGTGTGCTGATTGATAGTAACATTGAGGATGATGAGGAGCAGGTGTTAACAGACATTGAACATTCACTTCCTATACCAGGTACAGTTTTAGGTCATTTCTTGCATTATCAATTTAATTCTAAGAATCATGTAAACTAGGTGCTACTTTCTTCCTATGCAGTAAAGAATTGTAATGCATGAGGATCTAATAAGTGGCTGAAGATCATACAGCCAGCCAGTGACAGAGCTGATAGGGCAGCCTTTAGAAACTCTGAATTCTTTTCTTCTTTTGAAATCCTCCAGCTGTTTTCCATGATGGCTGCACCACTTCACATCCCCCAGCTGTTCTACAAGGCTCCCTTTTCTCTACATCTCAGCAACTTCTGTTCTCCTTTGGCTTATTAATAATAACCACCCTCAGAGGTATGCTGTGATCTCATTGTGGTTTTCACTTGTGTTTCACTGGTATTAGTGATGTTGAGCACTTTTACAATTATCTGTTTTGCATTCGAATTTCTTCTTTTGAAAAATGTCTATTCAGGTCATTTCCCCACTTTTTAATCAGGTCATGTATTCTGTTTTATTTTTTACTCTTATGTTGTAGGAGTTTCTAATATACTTTGGAATTAACCTTTTATCTTATGAATTGTTTGCAAATATTTCTCCTGTTCTACATATTGTATTTTTCATTTTGTTTATAGTATTTGAGCTGTGAAAAAACTTTAGATTGATGCATTCCCACTGACTTATTTTATTTTTGCTTTTGTTGCCTATGCCTTGATTTTAAATCCGAGAAATCATTGAGAAGGCAAATGTCAAAGGGTTTTCCCCCTAATTTTTTTTCTAGGAGTTTTTCAGTTTTAGTTCTTATTGTTTAAACCTTTAATGAATTTTAGTTTATTTTCACATAAGGTATAAGACAATGGTCCAATTTCATTCTTTTCTGCATCTTTATTCTGTTCTACTGGTATTTGTGTTGGTTTTTATTCCAGTACCATGCAGTTGTGATTAGTAATACAACTATATATATCATATATGCAACAGAACATTATTTAGTTATTAAAAAAAGTCCTGCCAATGATGACAACGTGAATTAACCTAAAAACATTTTATTAAAGGAAGTGAGTCAGACACAGAAAGTCAAATGCTCTATAGTTCATATTCAGTGGCACCATAACATGCAGCTGTAGATGAGTAAGTCCTTCACAGTAGATGTACAAATGTGAGTGTAGACAAAATAATCTCTTATGTACCTTAATGCTACTAAGAGAGTCGCTACCTCATCATTCTCATGAATATAGAAAATGTAACTATGATGTAATCAATATGAAAATTGGCTTGATTGTAGGAACCATATACCAATGTAGACATATATCAAACATCATGTTGAACACCTACAATGTATACAATTTTTATTTGTTAATCTCAACAAAGATAAAAATAACTCAGAAGGCAGCCTAGAAAAGCTAAGGGGTACTGTAGTTGGGAGATACCAGTCAAGGAAACTCTTTTCTTCTTTTGGAATCCTCCTGCTGTGATCCTAGTTAAGAAAGACTAGAACAGAAAAAACAGATGTGCACATACCACAAATAATGGAGGGGGCATGTTTTTGTAGACCTGCTCCTACATGTGAGCAGGGCTCAACCTGGGGTTGCAACCTGCAGGTGGGGAGCATTCATGGGAGAGGAGGCTGGGAACCTAGGAAGGAGGTTGCTTCTACAAGGTTTTCATGTCTCAACAGAAAGCATGAACTTCCATTGTTCCATAGAAGGAAAGAAATCACTATGGAGTCCTAATTAAGAAAGACACAAAATTAGAGTCAGTTTTATGGTTTTATTGAATACTATCATTCTCATCTAAAGACCAGATCTTTGATACCTAAAGAGTTTTTGTTTCTTCTTGTTTCCCCAGGCAAAGGAGGTCCTCCAGAGCTTCCTACATCCACTGTCTGCCATAGAAAATCCATCGTGCAGTCAGATAAAGCCCTCACTAAGGGAGAGAAGGCCATAGCAGGTACAGGGGAGGTCATAGCTCTCAGAGGGTGGGGAGGTTCCTGCACAGACCTTGACTGACTGGGCAAGAAAACCTTCCTGAAACCAGAAGCTTCCTCCTGCTATGGAGCACATGACCTGCTAAATCTGAGAGCAAGAGGGGAGTCCAGCAAATAGTTTTCCATCACAATTGCAAACATACTGTCATGGCTATTGGGCAAATTGAGAGATTTCCCTCTTGCCTTTTCTGAAATCACCTTGGTGTGCTACCTAGGAGGCTAGAATGCAAGCCTGTTGTTTCTTCTCTCTTCTAAAATCTTTGTGGAGCAGAGGAGCGGGCCAAGAAGGAGGCAGCTGAGAAGGAACAGGAGCTGCTAAGGCAGCAGCAGAAGGAGCAGCAGGAAAGGATGGAGGCCCAAGAGAGAAGCTTCTGGGAAAATATGGTACAGAGAAGATGGAGAGAGAAAGGGAGAACATTCTGAGAGAGCAGGAAAGGGTGCTGGAGCACAAGCTGAAGGTGAGTCTCTACAGGGCCTGGCAGGATGTGACAGACAGTGCCTGATATCTCAGGATGGGATGGGACAAAATGTTAGATACAGACAGCATTCCAAAGGGACACCCAGAAGGTAAATGTTTCACTGACACGGACATCTCAAGTGCACCTGGATCCTAATGAAGCCTATAAATCTAAGAGACTTCAACACTCTGTGTATTGATAGACTTTGGAGGGTACAAATAATAACCCCCTGGTGGTGGATTACTCTTTGTTGAGATTATGTGCCCCAATTGAGTAGGATTCTGGCACAACCATCCAAGAGACCTGAAACAGATCCTTATGGTCTG